GCAGACCGAGATGACAACATAAGAGAAGCTGGGGCCAATTCAAGTCCGTTTGGGTAAACGAGTACTATTATACCATTTTTGCCGGTTCAGAAGGACGCTTCTTAGGACAACTGTTCAATAACTGCTCTCTAGAAAGGCCTTATTTGACTGTCATGGGTAACGCAGTGATGAAGATTGTTTGGCCGGTGGTGTAATGCCAGACGGAAGCCAGCGTGATGAGTGATAATAATGTTTGAAAAATGGATTACAGTGTTCAAAGCGTCAAAACTGTAATATTAGAACCGGTAATTAAGAAAACGTGTCTAATGTGAATTTTAAACACGATCTGTACATTTATCTGTTTGTCCACTATTACCGCGCAGTGGGTACTTTATACAGCACCTGCTGATACCCCGAACGGCCGACCCCATCCGCAGCGCCCACCAATGTTGCTCAAGAATCAGCGTTCATACGTGTGCGATTGTCAATTAAAAAGCAATTATTGCGCATATCTGAGACACCATAACAACACGTATATATTCGGCATGTTCGTCTTTTACTATAAAAGACATACATAAGTACTTCTATAGACCGTAGCGCTTATCACGCTGCGCTGACCATGCAATGCTTGCATGAAGAAGCGAGTGTTTCCAGCGCTTAGCTAAGACAACACGGTGGTGGCACCTACCCGTCGCCTTGCGTTCGACACCTTATCACCTCTGAGACAGGCGCGCACGCCGGTCTCAGGGCCACGTGCTTGGTTTTCCAAAAAACTGCCAGATGGCACTCTTGTCTCACGTGTGACGTGACGTGATGCACTTGTTCGCCTCCGCTGCACACTCGAGGCACTCTAACGCAGCGCCTCCGTAATACCATTCACCAATTTTGTTGCGCAGAACATCTAATAAACGTTTTGTTCACTCTCTCCAGATTATAGTTCTTCGAGAACATTTGCAGATTAACATGCAGATGCGGGGCCAATATTTAGATCGTAAAGATGGAGGTCTGTTGGTAATGCAATGCATCTGCGTATGTTCTCAAAGAACCTCAAAGTTGCCCCACGGATCTCAGGGTTGCCATTTTTGGCTACTTTGCGTTAACTTGGCTACTTTTTTAGGCTGGTTGTGGCGAAAAAACGTGTTGGCTACTTGGCTACTTTTTGGGTACTTTTACTTCCCTCTATTTTAGCAAAGTATAAATATCTGGTGACGCCACTGCCCCTGACGATGTCCAAAGTTTTGTGCTTGCAAAATACTGTACTTACAAAAGCAAAGACTTTGAGATACGGGGTGTCGCCTGGGGCAAAGCTTGCGGACACTTGGGAGCTCTTCGCCCTTTTACCGCATTATTTCCGGTGACCGCGCACTTCCACTGTCCACGGAGCTGGCCCATTTGCGCGTGTTTTCGAGCATGCAGGATAGCCATGGGGAAGCACGCCTCTTCACAGAGAGTATTCCGCAAGCAGTGGATGAACGATCCGAAATCAAAAGGCAAGACTTATTTGTTTCCGGCATTAGAGTAAACCGACATGAACTTTGGATGATGCACCATTCTGCATGATTCGCGTTGCGCTGCAGGCCGTGTGCCTGCCTCTTTGTTTAAGCTTGCCCCGTTTGGTTTCAGAATAGATCGCACATTCGGAGAACAAGTCACAAGTCAGTATTTGCATTTGACGTGCAAATACGGCTCCTGTAAAGTGCGGGCCCACTGCATGGACTCGATAAAACATTCGGAAACACGTAAACATCGCAATGCTTTTGCGCCAGGCAACCAGCTGCGTCTGAAGGATACAATCGCCCATCGTTTAACAGCCGACATGGAACAGAAGCAGGGTGCTTTGAAAATCTCACTTTTCACGGCTTGTAACATGGCAATCAACTCCGTGGACGAGCTTTCCGGTATCCTCAAGGGTGAACTCCATCAAGACATTGCGCTGCACTCGACGAAGTGCACTGCCCTAATAACGAAAGTGATCGCGCCGTATTTCGCAGAAACTTTGGCGCGCGACCCCAGAAGAAAGTCGTTTTCCATTTTGGTCGATCAAACCACCGAAATATTTGTTTCTTTACATGAAAGAAAGTTCAGATGGACAAAGGGAGTCGATCTAATTGATTGATATGTGGGGTTTAACGTTCCAAAATCACCATATGATTATGAGAGACGCCGTAGTGGAGGGCTCCAGAAATTTCGACCACCTGGGGTTCTTTAACGCGCACCTAAATCTGAGCACACGGGCCTACATCATTTCCGCCTCCATCGGAAATGCAGCCGCCGCTGCCGGGACTCGAGCCCGCGACCTGCGGGTCAGCAGCCGAGTACCTTAGCCACTAGACCACCGCGGCGGGGCAAGGGAGTCGATCTATACGATACAGTAATGGCCGTGTTTCACGAGAACTGTCTCAATTCAAGTGACTGTGTGTAGGTCTGGCAACGGACGGCGCGAGCGTGATGTGTGCCCGTCATAACTCACTGTGGAAAAGATTGGAAAATGATAAGCCGTCACTTACACTTGTAAAGTGCATATGCCATTCCCTCGACCTTGTTGCCGCAAGAGCCGCGGATGCGATGCCCTCCAACATTTTGTACATGGTGAGAGAAACTTACAATTATTTCACTCACAGCAGTGTCAGGCAAGCTACCTACAGGGACGTTTACCATGAGAGCAATGGAGGTAACGAGGAAAGTGAACCACTTAAAATTATTTCCCCATCGGGAACGCGTTGGCTCGCAATCGAAGACTGCATCGACCGTATAGTTTCCCAGGCCCTGAGACTTCATTTCGCCACAGTTTCGGATAGAAATGAAAGTAGCTAACGTGGTTGCTTGGGCGAGTTGGTACGACATGATTCACTTCATGGCGCGTTGTGTAGATGACTACGTGGTTGTTAGGTGGATTCTGTTTTGTTCGTTTTCTATTTCTTTTTTTGTCAGATGCTGCCCAAGTATATATTGTGCGGTTCTAGCAAATAAATTCTTGTTGTAAGTCAGTGCCGCTGTCTGTCTCCTTCTTTCTCTTGTCCCTCGTTATTGGCGCTGTTTTTTAAGTGAATCATTCGGATAGAAACTACAGCGTAAGGCTCCTGAAGGACATGTATGGGGACGAAAGGACCGTGGCGTACCTTACGCTTCTCGCTCCCATCCTTGCGGATCTGAAAAGAGCGAGTAGACTTTCCAAGGTCAGGATGTCGACCCGCTTGGCGTGTTTTAGGAGCTGGAAAGGCTTTTCAAGAGCCTTCTGACCAGGATAATTGAGGCGTCTGTGTTACGTCAGCATGAGGGCCGCCTCGGCGATTTTGATTTTATGAAATTTGAGTCTGTTTTTTTTTAATTTGGAAGATGACGACTTCGACATGACCTTTTCTGAGCATCTTAGAGAACACAACTTAGTGCGCGCGAGAAATAAGCCATGAAGCAGTGCTGTCTTACCTTAATCAAGCTCTGTGCCTTTTATCTACAGGAACGGTTGCCAAGGGCCACCTCGCTGCTCAGAAAGCTCAGGGCTTTAAGTTCAGAATCGATCATCGGGACACGCGCCGTGGAATCTTTCCAGGATCTTCCAGCCGGTGGGTGTTTTTTTGCGTGCTCGAAAGACCAGCTCGGACGTGAGCTAAAGTACCTGCAGCAACTTGTTGGCACCGCTTCAGACCAACCCCTTTTGGAGTCTTGGAAGAAAGTACATGACCAGAAGGACCCGTCTGGCTTGAATCCTATGGTCCACCTTGCCACAGGGGCAATGAAGTTGCTCGTTTTACCCATATCTAACCCTGAAGTAACACTAACCAAGAGCAACATCAGGAATCGGATGTCCAATGAAATGTTTGTTTGAATCCTCAAGATCAAGTTTGGAATGAGACTCCGGAATATTAACTGTTCGGACTTTGTGATCCTGCAATGAATATGGGTGAAAGTGAACTCTACAATTTATGCTAATCCTTTGAGTGTACTCATACCGTATTTATCTTTTGTCACCCAAAGGGTGTTATTACTAGTCATTTTAAGAAATGCCACGCAAGTCGCGTAGAAACAGTGTCATTTCTGCAAGACATGTCGTCATCTTTCACGATCGCTAAAGTCCAGAATTTATGCTTAAATTCGAGCACTTGTGATTCTGAAATGTTGATACTGTACTTACTTCATCGTCATTGTGATACCAAGTATAGTCGCACCATAATCAATTTTATTGTTGTCAAAGTAATGTTACTTCAAAGTAATGTCAAAGTAATGTTACTTCTAGTCTTTTTTTTACAAGGATCACGCACGTTGTCTGAAGAGACATTTTTGCAACATCAGAATATTTGCAATGCTTGCAACATTTTCAGCCATTGTGATTGCTAGCTCAACAATTGACGCTTGAATCCGAGCAGTTCTGCTTACGAAGTGCTAATACTGTACTTACTTACATTGTCGCAAAAGGGCTATTGCATTTTGTCGTTAAAATAAAGACGTCGCAGCGGTTTTCACGCACGCGTGGCTACACTTAGCAAATTTAAGGGCCTAATTAAATTTGGCTTAAGTTGGCTACTTTTTGGCTAGTTTTTCTCATTTTTAAGCTACTTTTCATCTTTTCAACCTGGCAACCCTGCGCGCGCTAAGGTAGCGAAAAGGCAAATCAGAATACTTAAGGGAATGTTTAAAAAGAGAACAAAGTAGTTCCACTCCGCCAACACAATGCATATACATCGCACCCGCTTTGAGTAAACAACAACAACAACAACAACAACAACAACAACAACAACAACAACAACAACAACAACAACAACAACAACAACAACAACAACAACAACAACAACAACAACGACGACGACGACGACGACGACGACGACGACGACGACGACGACGACGACAACAACAACAACAACAACAACAACAACAACAACAACAACACACACATCGGCTGATTGAGCACGAACGCTATTCGATTCAGTATTACTCATTGCGTCGCCCGCAAAAGTCTGCCGACGCTTTTGAAAACCAGCAATCAACTCAACATCTTCCCCAGGTTGATTCGTCTCTCTTTTCAGGTCGGAAACGATCCGCGTAAAATGGGAACCATACGCAGTATTCCTTCATGTGAAGCCCTCAGGTAAGCTACAACTAACTTTTGATTTATGCTAATGAATTTGTTAAGGCAGAGCAATCCTTTCTTCACACAACTTCATATATACTCCTATTTTTTGTTCATGATATACTTCTATTCATAACAGAAAATAATTTCTGGTAGGTGTTATGTAAGAGTGATAAGACGAGAAGCAGGGTGTCGACGTACGCATAGTGGAAATAGCGTTAACTTCGAACCGTTCATTCTATTGATACTAAGTAGCTTTACAGGTAACAAGCGGAAACAAAAAAAAAACAAATGCAAAAGAGACACGTAACTAATAATTCTTATTGATTAATTTGCCTTTGCAAGAGGATATGTGTTACTTAGAGGATGAAAATCAGCTGTTGCCACACTTTTCCTGTGTCTTCTGGCAAATGGCTTTTCCCTGACTTGTTCTTTGAATCTGTCCTAAAAATGCGTCGGGCCATAATTGCAAAAACGTCGGGGCATCTATTGCTTACACGACGAGAAGCGACCTCTTTGGACAGCTATGCCAGCAGATGCCCCACAGAACAAACGCTAAACTTCCATAACACAGTACCCCAGACAGCGTGCTTGGAGTGCTTTTTTTGTAGCCTGAACAGTTTAGTTAGCTTTATTAAAACATAAAAGAAAACCTTGCTGCTGTCCACAAAGTCTACAAAGAGTACCATACATGCTGAGGAGGCTGCAGGAGCAACGTCGGGATTTACCACATACGCTGTTGCATTTGCAAAAAAAAAACAAAACAAAAAAAAAACGTCCCCGATGTAGAAGTGTGTAGTATGCGAGTTGAGACACATTTCAAGTTACGCGCTACATTTTAGGAAAACGCATGATTTCAACATGCATTGCGTAAAATTAGAGTGCATTTTCGGGTGGTTTCACGAATCGATGCATGGAATGATGGAAAGAACTTTACTAAGACTTCGGCGGGTTGGTGTGGCGGGCCAATGGCGCCGCCAATGTTACGGTCAGGAATCTTTGAATCCTGGCGGCTTTCTTGGTCCGCTGGATGGCCCTCATCTGACCTTCAAGGGTGACGCTGAGCAGTGCTGTATCCCAGCACGTGCGAACGCAGTCGCTAGATGCCACGTACTCGCTGTGGGCACTGATCTCTCGGCATTCCCATTATATATACTCCAAGGTAGCTCTGAATTCCCAACACTTGAACTTGTCCGTTTCATAAATATCGGAATGTATCATGTGCGAGAGTGCAGGATTCGGATACGTCGTATAGTTTGTAACCGCTGCCTTTTGACAGACAGTTTTTCAACACAAAATTGTTCTATTACGGTGTCTACCAAGACTTCAGTGACGTATTTTCTTAGCTGAAATGACGTAAAAAATACGCATGATCAGAAGAAAAAAAGGGAAAAAAAATTTGTCAATGGGAATCAAACATATGACTACAGGGCACGCGACCACATATGCCGGGCGCGCTATCCACTGCACCACGAACACTTTTCGTGTTTTAATGCGCGGAATCGACACCAGTAATTGCGAACTACGCACAGCATAATTCATTAGAAGTCAGACAAACACACACAAGCGTCCAGAAAGGGAAGCCACTCCGGAACGGTGTAGAAAGTCTAAACAACCCTGCGCACTTGAGGAGCTTCTTCTCAGAAGACAGGCCTCGTCGACGATGGTGGCTATAGGCGAGTCTGTCAATTATGCGACTTTTACACAGTGAACGAAGTCCGAATAACAAACAGATCATATTGAGTACTATTGGTGGGACTCTTTTTTGTGAAAGGAAAGAACGTAATACCATGAACTGTGATTGGAAGTTCTTTTATGATTGTGTTTTTTAGAATGTCTAAAGGATAAAATGCGCCAAGACAATAAATCAAACAATGCTTTGTTGTATCAGGTTGGTGGCAGAGTCTGTAATTTGCTGTTCAGAGCAAATATATTGATTTTAATAGAGCCATGTCTTTACTGGTAGAACGGAAGTGTGCAGTTGAAAAAAATGTTTTCACTGCTAGAGTTATCCCCATGTTTTCTACGCTTTAAAGATACGCCTTTTATATTTAAACCACTACACTGTAACAGCGTTTTTGGTAAAGCGCAGAAATGCATCATGACCGTGGCATCTGCGATTATTATAGTTCCTTCAACGCGTCGTTTCCAAGTGTCCACCTCACTCGGCGAAATTTCGTCAACGGGTTAACACATGACCAGATGGCAACCTCACTGCGAGCGTCGGCGTCACTCATAGCATCTATCCATACCATATATAGCTCTGCCTGTTTCGCCTGGATGTAGCTACACGTTGGCCCCTTACGCTAGCCCCTGAATAATCGCGGTCGGCCAATGGGAATACATGACGCGCGTGACATTTCCCACTGGTCAGGCATAGAGTTACTGTATATGCAAGGTAGCACATAGAGTAACTACAGTAGGGCAGTAATGTTCAATAACTCTAGCAAGCCACAAGCAGGCGACCTTAGCCAAAGTTCTGCATTTATTTCTCTGGTTCCGCTCTCACCGTTAACTACTAAAACTTCCACAAGCACCTATGACCTCAAGGACTTGTTTAACCTTTAATGATGGGCGTCAGTCGTCGGGTTGTAGATGTATGAATAAGCGTCAGCATGGGTGCATCCATGTTAAAAACGATGGTGTAGCCGTCAAACACCAATGAACCTTGTGCAAGCTCTCTTTTATCCATGAGCATTGAACTACTTCTGAAAGTACACATTTTACTTTCGTGTTTTACCGATTTCTACAACGGCGGGATAAACCATGTTTCTTTGTAATTTTTGGTGAAGGGCGGGAATATGCCCCTTTGTAATCTATACTGTTTTGTATTACCACTGTATCTGGTCATCCCGTCTTCCCGTTCTCACTCGTCTACCGCGCCGTCATCATCGGAGGATGCAGAGAGTGCAGCTCGGTCACTAAGCCCTCGAGCTGCGTCATGCACAGCCCCGTTCTTGCCGCCCTCCGCGAGGGGCGTGGGCGGGTGCCTGTGTAATGTATGCATTTCTTCCGCGTGCTTGAAACGCTGCAAGTAAATGCCTAGTGCCTTCGGCAAGTTTCTTATTGCCGTTTGAGAGGCGACTCTACCCGGACCCCACACGGGGTCTGGAGAAGGCAGACGAGCAAATACTACGCCGCCTCTAGACGAACATGAATCTCAGTCCGGTGGTCGTAAGGCATTTTTGCCGGAAATCATTGGCCCCTGCTAGACCTGCCAGGTCCTCGCCGACAAGTGCCACGTCGTCGCTTCATACCTCGCCAACCCCCTTTCTTTTTCATCTCTTTTCTCGATCCGATGTACAGACGCTCGATAGGAGTGCCTGCTTGGCTTCTCCATCTTAGATGCTCAACGCTCCTGGGTTAGGCGCGCTCAGACAGCAGCCAACTTCATTGGCGCCCCGGAATGGGGTCTCGTCACTCAAACGTGCAATATGCCGCAACACTCTGGTATACTTCTGGTAATAAAATGTTTTGTACCCCCACCACAATCACGGTTGCGTTTGTCTGAGTTACTGGGAGCGCTATGGCTACCTCTCCCACTGTCTTCATACTTGTAATACGTATCGTCGCGCATGTTTTACGAAGTTTGTCAGCTATCAATTGCGGCTGCCGCAAACCCCCGTCTTCGCTTGTGTCGGGCAGCGTCTACTAAAACTGCACTCTTGTCATATTACCGAACTTTTCCTGCATTTCTTTCGTTCTGGTCTTTCATCTGTCCTTATTGGGTCCTGGGTGCATGCTTTTCGGTATGGGTGGCATTAGCATTGTTTCCCTGGTCTCTCTTGGAATGTAGACCTTGACGCCGTGTTGATAGGTTATACTTAATCGCTGTAGGATTTGTATTCCTGCTCATGTCTTAGATGTTAATATTGTGCTGTACATTGTACCTCAATCAGATCATGTATAGTATTCTGCAGGCCTAATTGAAGCAATATACATTGGTTCTGATCGGTTTTGGTCGGTGCTGATTGGTAGTGAAGCGGGAATGTGCCTGGTTAACCTCCCAGCCTTTTCTCTTCTTCTTCGTCTTTCCTCCTTGCGAATGAGGCAGTCCAATTTTTACGCGACTTGCCGCTTCAAGTACGGCGCTACATCTACTACTTTTCTTATTACGAAGCTCTGTATTAACCTCATCATGTTTTCCTCCCTCATGCATGCCACTGTGTATATTTGTATCCTTTTTATAAGCCTCATAATTTGGGCTACAGTTTTGTCCCCTTGTCTTAGGGTTTCTCCGCTGTTGCCCTTGGCTTCGATGAATGGACCCAGTACCCTGATCCCGTCGATCATGGGTATGGGTTTTTCCATCGGCCATTATTAACTATATTTATTAGCTGTCATTCGTATCTGATGCAGCACAATCTGTTCGCGAAATGGCAAGCGATGGCGCTGACTGACACTGCCACGTTATGCAGGGTGTCCCACATAACTTGAGCCAAGAATTTGAAAGTGAAAGGCACTTAGGAGGCGAATTGAACCAAACGAATACTACTCGCACTAGCCTGTAGGTACTCAGGCTATTTTTATTTCTCTCCGTAATAATTAATTATTAATTTTTAGTTATCTATTTTTCAATTGTGGGCTGGAAGCCCAAAATTAAACACTGTGATGTAGAGCACTTTCGAAAACCACCGACAAAATTGATTCCTGTACGATACATCTGGCACTGTTAATTTTTCCACGTTGTAAAGAAAGCCTGCGAAACGGACAAGAAGCACTGTGATACACCGCGAGCACACTGCTATAGTGCTGTTATAGGCTTTCTTTACAACGCGAAAAAAATAACAGCGCCAGACGTATCGTACAGGGCACAATTTTCTCGGCGGTTTCTGAAAGTGCTCTACATACAGTGTTCATATTTTGGGATTGCAGCACACAATCAAAGAATAGTTAAGTAAAAATTAATAATTAGTTATTATGGGGAGAAATGAAAAATAGCCTGAGTACCTACAGGCTAGTGCGAATAGTATTCATTTGGTCCAATTCGCCTCCTAAGTGCCTTTCACTTTCAAATTCTTGGCTCAAGTTATGTGGGACACTCTGTGTACACATTTACTATACCATATAAAGTGAACGGCGGATAACCACTACCATAGCTCACGGGTAGAGCATGGTACGCGTTATTCGAAGGTCGCAGGTTCGCATCCTGCCTGTGGCAAGTTGCTTTTCGTCCACTTTTTTTTCTACATGTTTATATTACAATTGTTTCAAATAGCATCCCATATACTTATCTTGGCCTCATTGTCTGTTAGTTCTCATCAATATTCTTCTCTAAAGTTCGGCTCTCCTACATCTTTGATCAATAACGAGAAGATGAAACTGGATCGTTTGCCAGGAATTATGGCTTGAGCCCTACGAAAAACATAAAAAGTTTCCGCAAAAATGTTGATCTTTAACGCACTGAGTGTGTACTCAATAGCTAAGTTTGCATTCTTCGGACGTGTACTACTAAGACAGCCTGATGGGTATCAGTCAATGTGTGACTTAAAAGCGTACTAACCAATTACATGGTTCTATAAGCAGATATTGTTTTAAATACTTTTCGTTGCTATTTCAGACTACACGAAACATGATTTGCATGCAAAGACGAAGTACGTCGTACGGACTTTCGGCAAGGAGTACCTACTTCTTTCCGAGATCACAGGTAAGATTGAGTTATATTTTCATAAAAGTTCTTGTGACTTTATCAGCACAAATTCTACAGTTGAGCCTATAGATACGAGGCAATGTTACGATGTATACGAGGCAATGTTACAATGGAATACGTTCCCTTACGAGCACCTCATGCCGGTCGCCAAACCTCTCGAGCTGCTGCAGCCGCCACAAGGCAAAAATGGTATAAGAGCTCCTGTCGAATGATTACCTTGAGCCATAAAAGGTCTTTCGTTATGAAAATTTTGTAGTCTTCAAAAAACCCGTATATTTTTGTTACTTGTCGAGGCTCTCTTCCGGTACTGGAAAGAACTGCTACTCAGTGAAAATACAAACCCAATTGGTTGAAGGCGCTGAATTTTCGTAAGACTGGATAATGCGCGTAATTCAAAGTAAGCTCGAAACAATGATTCTAAACTGATTGCTAATTATATAGCTGGATACTTAAGTGAACAGGTCAAAGACAGAGCTGATGATCACTGATTCTGTCTTCCAGTCACTTCTAGGACACTACTAAGAAGTGCCCTGGGGTCCGTTGCAGCTGAACTAAATTGAATTACATTGTTGAAGTTGCTAAACCAAACAGTTGTCTTAATCGAAGCCTTCTAGATGGCACCATATCGGAGGTCATGACTTACTTGACCGTTTGTCAGCTTATCGACGGTCGATGCTGTGTTCACAGAATCAGCGCACTGTGCGTATCGCTGTATTTTAAGTTATTGTTTCCACGGACACTGCTCCACCCAAACAAAGAGTTTCGCCTTGAACACGTTGAATGCTACCTTCGTCAAATTGTGACAACGCGACATCTGGTAGAGGGGCTGTTTTCATGTTCCAGACACCTCGTGAAGCCGTGAATCCCGCACTAATGGCCAAAAAAAAAACACACTGACAACAGCAGTGAGAGTCCAGCCAGCCACCGACTAAACGGGCATAGCCCCCACTGCGGACACTTAACGGGCAGAACAAAATCCTCAGCGACAAAGACAACCGGCATGATGGCCACCGCATTGCCCCCTTCACCGATAAGATGCAGTCACCCGGGCCAGTGAACTGCCGACCTTCCATGCTTCACCATATAAAGACCTCGAGACCTGGGTCGATTTTCAAAAGGGTGCCAATGTTTAAGCACCGCAACTTCAGAGACAAGCTGTGCCACGTGCACTTTTACCTGGAAATTGTAGGAAGAGCATGGCTTAAGAATTGTGAATTCACAATTCCGACCCGGAACCTTATTTACAGCACATTCTTGCACACATTCGCGAGCGTCACACAAAATAACGGAGCCCCAACCTCGACTGAGACACGAATGTCCCTCTTGAACAAAAACGTGGCCATATTCGCAGAGGAGACAGCCCGACTCTTCCGTCACGCTGATCCCAACACGCCCGAGCGGAAGGAAATTCGTTTTTTGATGCGAGGAGTAAAGCCAGAACACTTCACTGGGTTTATGAGGAACCCACCAAAAACCATCCTGGAATTCCTGTTACAAGCAGAAGTGATCGAGAAGATGCTGAAATTGAGAACCCACCAGTGCAATCATCGATGAAGTAAAGACAGAGTAGCTGTACAGGCCCGATGTTTCGAAGACCTGCGCGAAATGACCTGTGATTGAGCGGGACGAATCGTGCAAGCTGTTACCCTCACCGCAGCCTCAAATGAACTCCGTCGCAGATATCGTTCGCGATGCAATGCAGCAGTCACTGGGCACCTTTGAACCGCCAGAGCCTCAGCCGAAAGCCATGATCTGAGCTGCCGTAGGCCTCCACGACGCTCCCAATTCGAGCGCACGCCAAGACACAGCCGCAAATACCGTCACCAGACGCCGACGCTATCACCCATCCACCTATTGACCATCGCTGCGCGCCTAGGAAAACCGACGTTCGGAGTGCACACCTCACCATCGTCCGCTCAGCTGCCGCTGTCCGAACCACCTGAAAGGCCTACGCGGCTTCGGTGTGCACGCACCACGTCCATAGCGTGATGAGGGACAAATGCTACATCAACGTATACTTGGCCATCACTTAATAGAGACATATACGTCCGTCGAGTGCCCCGTCCTCAGGACGCTACCGGTCCCTTGAGTGACGGCCGCAGTGGTACAGTGGCGCTAAGGGAGGCCTTTCCGTGGGCCCATATTCGAAAAACCAATAGCAGCAACTGATGGAAGTGTGGTTGCTGTACAACCGCATACACAAGATCCCCACTGCCGAAGACAGCACTGCGAGGAAATGCCAGAAACGCGCGGAAAACCAGAAGGAGCCTTGAACACGAAACCTCGTGGCCTGAAGAAGACCTGAGAACGTGACCTACGCGCAGCGGGACAACCCGACCTGACCATTACCTGATGCGGCGACTTAACTACAACGCGGGAAGACACACTACGCACCTCGATGGCCACAATGACACCGCTATAATCAAGACTGAAGGGAACTATTTCATCGTCAGTGGACCATTCACCACAAGGTTGAAGAAGTGTATGACTGCTTGACAAGGCCACGAAATATTGACCGCTGGAGGCCATGTATTAAAGTTGGCTGGAGTCTGCATCGCAAGAGCCACAGTGAATGACCAAATGTATCCTCCTAGTTTTGTAATCATACCAGCCTGCTCTAGGAATGTGGAACTTGGGATAGATTTCCGAAGTCATAATGGTGCCATAATTGACCTGCAATCTCCGTGAATAGCACTTACCTCCGAAAACGTTCTGCCGCTCCACATGACGCGGAGAGCTACCCCTTCATTGCGTTTGGCGAGCGGCTAAGGCACTGTTTCGCCTTCGTTCAGCGTCATTTCTGTCGGCACCGAAAAACCGAATGACTCAGAAGGCATCACCAGGAGTGACCTTCACCTGTTGCTCAGGTGTGACATAGGCAAGAACAGATTCAAGTCCTAATCCGACAATACAAAGAATGCTCACTGCGACAAAACCCGGTAGCCCAACTAAGCATCATAACCAAAAACTACATGCATTTGCAACGCCAAACCAGTGCTGAGTTTTACCACGCGGGTTTTGTCACACTGTCATCTGCGTCTTCCTCATTTGTTGTAGTCCCGTTAAAGCCGCGTCGCATTCTTTGGCCAACAATGAAATAGTGAAAGAGCTCGCTCCTATAGTGAAAGAAATCGCTGCTACTTGTTGAACGAAGACAGATATGAATGACGTGATGTTTTGCATGACGCTTCTAAAGTGCAAACAGAAGCTCGTGAATTTTCTCCTAGGTTTGTGCCATACGCCAGTTTTCTTTATTATTTCAAGTCACACTTTGCTTTTAGTCTCTAAATGTTTTGCTGTTTTCACTGTTTGGATTTCAATAATATTTTTTGCTCTGTTTTTTTTAGTTAGAGACAACAACCTTCTAGTTGACATAGCAGGAGCTGCTTCACTGGACCACTAGCGTGCCTTATATCATACATTCTGTTGATAATGCCATATATTTGAACCCTGCAACTACTCAAGCCAACCGTTGATCCATGCAGAACACCGCTATGAACCAGTGCGCTCTCTCTTCACCCTCTTCATTCTGTTAGTCTTGTCTGCCATCTGCTTCGGTCTCAACACATGGGCTGATCTGTCCGGCATCGGATGCAATAAATGTGATGGTCGAGAGAACGTGCAGAGGGAGTATTAAAAAGAAAAACAATGAAATGAGAGAAAGAAAGATATAAAAAAAATTGCCCGCAGCTTCCCTCGGGGGAACACTGAGGAGGATGCGGACCATATAATTGGTTAACGGGGTGTTAAAGTGCGACTTACTTGGGTCGATGGCTAAATTGGTTAACGTGGTTGTGAAATGGGGTGTTAAATTGCGACTTACTTGGGTCGATGGCTAAATTGGTTAACGTGGTTGTAGGAGGGGGTGTTAAATGAGTGAACACGTACACACGTATGCGAAAGGGCGGCGCTGGTCGAAGGGACGTCGATCGTTGTGTTTGTGGATTCGTTGGAATTCATTTCACCGCGACCTTGGACGTCGACGCGCCGTACAAACCAACCGACAAGCGGCAACTGAGCGAGCGAGCGCCGACCTTGAGTATATATACAGCACGACGGCGCATGCACTGTCAGCTGTTGAATGTTCTCGAAGCGCGACGCCACATGCGCGTCCACTGGAGAATCAGGAGAATTGTAGATGTCGAACGCGGTGTGTAGAGGAGGAAGGGTGCACAGATGGTGGAGGAGTGAAGCGCGCGCGGTGTGTAGAGGAGGAAGGGATGCACAGATGGTGGAAGAGTGGGCGACGGCGCGACGGCGCATGCGCGCGCGTCAGCTGTCGAATGTTCGAGAAGCGGTGCGGACGGCGCACTACAAGGCGCGAGTATAAGATGCTCCGCATCTAAAAGAAAGAGAGAGGAAAAGAGACACAGAAACAATTGGAGATTGAGTGAAATATACAGAAAGAAACAACCACGAAAAAGAGAGAGAATGAAACCGTAAGACGGAAATTGATTGGGAGAAGAGAAATAAAAGAAAGAGAGCAAAAATGAAATAATAGAAAGTAAAAATAGAAAGAGCGAGCAAGAGAAGTAAATCGCGAGGGAAAAAAAGCGTAAAAAAACGTGGCTGCATGATCCCTCTGTTCCGGAATTGGTACAACTCGAAAGTTAAATGTGTAAACGTGTTCATATTGCCCCGTCGCAGTGGTCAAGTGGCTAAGGTACTCGGCTGCTGACCCGCAGGTCGCGGGATCGAATCCTGGCTGCGGCAGCTGCATTTTCGATGGAGGCGGAAATGCTGTAGGCCCACGTGCTCAGATTTGGGCGCACATTAAAGAATCCCTGGTGGTCGAAATCTCCGGAGCCCTCCACTACGGAGTCTCTCATAATCATATGGGGGTTTCGGGACATTAAACCCCACATATCAATCAACGTGTTCATATTAGAACAGCGCAGAGACAAATCATGAGGGAAAACACGTGTCAACGTGTGTTCGGAGAGGCATCTGGGCGTTTTTTTGCCGACTGTTTCACGACAAGGGCTAAGAAATGAATGCTACAGCACCGAATTGTAAAGCCACGCGATAGTTAAGCAGCTGGGAACTTGCAGTGCGCAGCTCAAGCAGAAAGGACACACGAAATCAGCAAGCACAGAACGAGCACGGACTAACACCTGTCCCAGCTCGACACTTAGAGCGTGCTGTTCAAACAGAAAAACGCGTGAAACGACCGCACAAGTACACACATGACGAGCGTAAATAACTCTCAGTGTTTGATACATCGTATGCTCTCTTAGTAAACGCGGCCACGGCAGCGTGCGAAGTGACCTTCGCGCTCTCTCGAATCACGAATGTAGTAAGTGCGCGCGCAGGAGAGACCATGCCCCGTGGTGACGTGCGCTCTTCGAAACGCCAGAGATTAGGACCCTTAGAGTGCGTCCAACGCTTACCCAACGCGAGTCATTCGCACCATCTCACTACTGATGGCGAAAATGCGCTGAAGTTGTGGAGCTCTCAAGGCTGCCATACGGAATATGGCGTATAGAAATACTTTTCGTTAGCAAGCATGACAACGTATGTTTTGTGGTGTAGTGATTTTGCGCCGCGTGATGTGGAACGAGAGGTCATATAGGTTGACGCCCGCAGACGAAACTTTTTGATCTCGTTTTTTTTTTTTTTGCAATTTGTTAGTGTATGTTGTACAACGTGATATCCGTGACAGGAACACGTCAGTGAAATCATTGTTGACCTTAGAATAAAACGGTTTCGTGTTAATGGCTGGAGACAACATTGATCAAAACAGAAAGAAAGCGAAGAAAAAAGAAATGGGTGGAGAATGAGCAGAATAAAAGGAACACAAGTCGCCCAGCTCTGCAGTCCCTCCGGACTTGGTGTCATTAGTCTGAAGCTATAATAACTTTATTTAAAAGTGTTTTGAACTTTGAAGTACCTTAAAGCATATATAGGAGCGAAAAAAATGTTTTCATGACATAGGTATTTCTCCACAATCTTCCTCTTTTAATCGCAAGTGATCGCACAACAATCTTCTACCACCTACCCTAATTGTCTCTCAGAAAACATCATTCTAGATCACATCCAATTTGACATGCTTTTAGATGGTTGAGTACAACGAACCAAATTAGATATGAAACAACCTGTCATGTGTAAGTATTCCTTGATTATTTGTAAAGTGTCCTGCACATCATATCATGAATGCACTGTCAACATCAACTCTTCTTATGTTACACAGAGGGACAATCACCATGCGCACTTTGGGTGACAAAAGGGTATCAGTATGATATCCCAGAGACGATCAACAAAACATTTCACAGGATCTGCCCCGATCCTCTTTACGTTCCGTATGAAGAGGAGTGCATTTGGAACGGAAAATAAAGACAGCTTCTTCACTTTTTGCAAGTTATTGAATAATATGTTTGCGCCAATTTTATTTTCGAGTGTGCTTCGCACAACTCGTAGGCATGTGAAGCGTCTTGTTTTGAACGTCCTCAACAGACGGCAACTTTCGTGCCTGAAACGCATTGAAGGAAGGCACAAGTTCAACGAAAGTCTATAGAAATTTAGTGACAACTTTACACGAACACAGTTCGATAGCGAATTCAACGCAAGGCATTTCCTCGCTTTATTGGACTGAGTAGAATCTCGCATGGTTGATATTTCTTTCCCATTACATTATGGCCGGTAGACAAAAGAAATCTCATGTGGTCAAAGTGCCAGTGCTTTTTTTCCTATTATTCTGATTGGTATACTACCTATGATTCATCAATCATTTGGCTATATCATGGCACGACAAGGACACCTATTTACATGGTGCTTTCTAGGTTTTATCGATCTACTGTTATTGTACAAATAGCATGTGTGATTGTGAATAAAACATTAATTGTAAGGTAGCACTGCATGTGTGTCTCTCTCTCCTCTGTGTCCTTGTCGTGGTGCGCTATAGCTATATGAATGATGAACCCCAACCAACTAGCGCGGCAACGTTTCTTAGCAAATTACCTGTGAATTCGAGCCACTGTGAAGTTAACTTTTTATAGTGCAATGTTACTAGTTGTGGTGTAACTAGCCAGCTCTAATACCTGTCCCTCGAACAGTAATAAGCGGCCAATCATAATGTCTGATTCGATCATCATGGGCACAAGCATTGAATAAAGCTGTTTGGGCACGAGCATTGAATAAATGTAGCGAAATGAAGCTACAGAGATCTCGAGGTTCACTGGGATTTCGCATTAGACTTATTCTTGCGAGCGCTTGTTAGGGGAAAATGAAAAAAAATCACAGCATGTTCACGGAGTGAATAATGATGAGTGGGGCGAAGCGTCCATCCATCCGTCCGTCTGACTGTTTGCCCGTCTGTCCGTCTGCATGTCCGTCTGTCAAATATACGAGAAATACTAACATCTATTGAGGACATTTCCAAGGACATATACACTACTAGATATGTGGGGTTTAACGTCCCAAAACCACCATATGACTATGAGAGACGCCGTAGTGGAGGGCTCCGGAAATTTCGACCACCTGGGGTTCTTTAACGTGCACCCAAATCTGAGCACACGGGCCTACAACATTTCCACCTCCATCGGAAATGCAGCCGCCGCAGCCGGGATTCGAACCCGCGACCTGCGGGTCAGCAGCCGAGTACCTTAGCCACTAGACCACCGCGGCGGGGCACATATACACTACTACTACTACTACTACTACTACTACTACTACTACTACTACTACTACTACTACTACTACTACTATTACTGCTACTACTACTTTGAAGAGGGAATGAACCAAACCCTAAAGAGCTTCGCCCCTAAAACCAAATTGTTTTCTGCATTGCGCGAAGTCCCTAAATGAATAGCGGTAGCAAAATGTGTGACCGTACGTTCGAAGACAAGCGTCGACTGTAAACCATGTGCAAGTGCGCGTAGGACTCCAGTAGGTTGTCACCCTAACCTTTTCATATCTCCGCGAACAAGGTAGTTCTGTCACTATCAGTGTTGCCAGATGCTACCGAGCAAACAAGCGAATACTCATCATAAAATGAACCCAAAAGAAGCAGAAACAACGCATTTTTTTCGTTATTGAGTGCATTTTTATTTACAATTAAAAAAAACTTCACTGAAATAAGAATGGAAGCTTTAAAAGATTAACCTCATTGTTCTGTACAGTGAAAATATGCTCCACTGTCAACGAAATCACATAGCTACTTCTTAGCATTGTCCCCAGGGTGGTCTCTCCTCTCCATTCGGTTGAAGGCACGTTGGTCAGCACATGATTAACGTTACTTGTAATTCGCCCCAACGTACATTTGAACACTCAATTATAGACCGTTTTCACGGAGAGGAGGTGAGTAAACAACCACTTTTTTCATTTTTAACAGATTAAAATTCTCATTGTGCTTCGCCTACTAACCTTTAGAGTGCTTAGGCTGCGCGTTCTGCTGCGGCACTTCAACAACTACGCTATCTTGTTCTGCACCACTGACGTAGAATATTCGATGAAATAAGAGAATGGTGCCGTAACGAAAGGTAAATTCTGTCACGCTATCCACGCTGTCTTCATACTGTCTATAGTGCGCTGAACCCTGGGTCAGCCAGGTTCGTTTACATGATGCATAAAATCTAATTTTGTAGCACCACATATTAAGGGTATTTTCTCGTTCCTCAAGCGTAGCGTCACTATGGAAAAATGTTAGATGATTGAGAGTATTTGGTACTCTACTATGGGAGAGCATAATGCCGTCCCAAACCAGGGAGGGGGGGAAGTAGAAACGTGTGTAACGATTCAGAGTACAGGGTGCTCTACTATGAGAGAGCTTAAAGCCGTCCCGTGGGCCTGTGACAGCCGTACGCTAGCCCAGGAAACCGTTACGACAAACAACAGTGTGTTTAGAAAAATTGGTTAACGATTTAGAGCACTTGGTACTCTACTATACAAGTGTTTAGAGAAATTTATTCTCACAGACAGTGAACATCAATTACAATCCAACAGAACATTGCGACAGAACTCAACATCCACAGACACACCAAAAGTTGTTACAAAAAGATATGTGTACATGTGTAAACGGAATACAACATACACAACTTACCTAACTAAACAGGAATTGTTACAAAAACAATGTCTACATATGCACAATACATGGTAAATGAAGAACACGCAAATGAAATGTAGAGATCAATATGTCAGATATTTACATAGTATTTACAAGGTATTTGTATGAGTACTAAACAAAGATTAACCAACCAATCCCAGGCAGGCCTGAAAACAAGCCTTACACGTCTTTCACAGATGAACACAAAACGGCAGGACCAGTGTCGAAGGAATTCCTCTTCACCCAGAAAAAAGAGTTCCTCCGACAACACAGATATTATTTCTTTGTACAGTCGCTCCAAAATCGGGAAGAGGGCACGGCGGCGACGACCTGCTGCAACAGCTTCACATCGGTTACGCCAAAGACAGTGGGCACCAGCAACAATGAGAAGGCAGGCAAAGCGGCCTCGAGAACAACGTCCAGAAGAAACAAAGCGGTTTACTCCGAGGCCACGAAATCCTGCATGCACAGCCCTCCAGAAAACACGAGCAACGACACATTGCCTTAACACATGCTGATTTGTTTCCCGTAGGGAGCAGTTCGGACATGTTGATGACTGGACTATTCTCCACCTTTCTAGTCGGTCAAGGGTAGGAATAACGCCCCACCCAAGCCGCCACATGAAGTCCCGGAGGTGGCCAGGTAGAAATGATGCCGTCAGCGTGCTCTAAGACACACGAATAGAGCGAGTGCGGTGTGCTGGAGGAACTAACGGGAGCAACAACGCGGCTGTTGTGTCAACGATAGAATTGTCTAACACATCTAAATCAGGGCAAGTCGACTGGATATGACGAAAAAACGTGACAGCTGTTGCATAAAACGAAGGAAGTACTAATGATCGTGGGCCCTGATTAAGGCGCGCATTAGGCAATAAATACCGAAAGTGAGTGCCTAGAAAATAATATGCCAGAGTTCGCGCGGGGGATTCCTCTCCTTGTACGAGGCGCAACAGGAAGCGCAGGGCCAATAGCCGGCAGCGTATTGATACTGAAGGGAAAGCAAAACCTCCCTGGGAACGCTGCTGTCCTAACGCCGCACGAGAAACCAGCTCAGTGCCGCCAGACCAAAAGAAGGAACACAAGGCAGACTGCAATGACCTCACGATGCGTAAAGGCGGCTGTTCCACGTGAGAAAGGTACCAAATGCGACCGCAGAACACAGTCTGCACAAGATACCTCCGTTCAAGAAGCGGGAAGTCGAATTCCCGGGCGTTCTCAATTTCTTGTTTTACTTCATCGAGGGCGTTTGACCAAACGGAGTTACAAATGCCGTAGTGGTTGTATAGAATTCCTAAAATGCGAAGAGACGCAGCCGGCTGAAGAAGAGATGTGGACCTAAGTGTGGAGTTGGGATAGCCGATGAACAAATACCGGGATTTATAGAGGTTTAGCGCGGCACCTGAAATGTCCCCATACTGGGAAAATAAACGCGGGCTATGAGAAAGACTGTCTTCATCTGAAAGGTACAGGGTTATGTCGTCAGCAAAAGCTGTGACTTTAACGGTACTGCTGCCGGGAAGCGCAAGACCCCGGACATGCGAATCTGCTTCTAGAGCGCACAGAAATGGCTCAAGGCTGAGGACAAATAGAACAGGAGACAAGGGGCATCCTTGACGGACCCCACGTGTAATAGAAAAGGCAGCACTCTCCCAACCATCTAGAACTAGTGTGCTTTCTATACCAGAGTAGGTATGTCTAATTAATTCGACAAAAGTACCGGGAAAACCAAGGGCTGTGAGCACTTTAAAGATATACGTGTGCTCTAGTCGGTCAAATGCTTTCTCTTGGTCTAAAGACACAAGGAGACCACGCGCAGATCGCGACAGAGTATAGGCTATGATATCCCGGGTGGTAAAGGACAAACTGTGTATTTCCCGTCCAGGCATAGATGAAGCCTGGTGATGACCCATCAGGGTGTTCAACAGAGCCTTCAAACGTTGAACGATCACCGTCGTGAATATCTTATAGTCAACGTTAAGAAGCGTGATAGGTCTCCAATCTTCAGGATTAACAGAAGAAGCATCACCTTTTGGAATCAGCACAATGCGTCCATCTCGAAAACTTGATGGAAAGACACCATCCTCGAAACATCGCCGGATAACCGCGGTTAATACAGTACCAAGCTCATTCCAAAATGATAAGTAAAATTCAACTGGAAAACCGTCTGGCCCAGGGGCTGTCCCCCGTTTCATAGATTGTAGTGCTGCCTTTACCTCTTCAACTGATGGAGGGACGTGCAGAGAATCAGCAGCTTGTCGAGGAACGCGAGGCAAACCTCTAAGCATAGGCGGTAT